CCGACGTTGGGCACGACATTGTCCACGTTAGCTATGCATATCGCTAGCTAGGTCACAACATGCAGCTCACATCTGCGACTTCAATGTCTCCTTGGTCCAATGCAGCGAGGAAAAGCTTCTCAAGGTTGTCCCATCCTGTTGTGCGAGCGTGTCGGGCCATGCGCGTCGACCATCACGGCACTCACGACTCACCTCCATCCCCTTGCCTGGTGTACGCTCTGCTCTTCAGGAGTACCAAGCCATTCGCGAGAATCTCCTTCGAGCTCTCTGACCGTCTTTGCCTGTAACTTGCGAGCTTCTGGAGGGAGTTCGTGAGGTCCATGGTGAAGTCGCTGCGACCGCTGCAGGCGCCATCACATGTCCGCGCTTTGCCACTTTCCTCGATGGCATTCTGCTTTTGCTCACCACGTCGGGTGTCGATCGAGGCCTTGGTCTCGTCTGTGTCGGCCCATTCCGTATGTACATAGTATGATTGTGGATATAAGGTGAGTAGTCAAGTCAGGGCTGAGTATTTACACCGTCACTAACCGCCGTACTGGGGCAGACAACTTTCCTCGAAAACCGGAAATGTAGCTGTTCAACACAGTAATGAGGCTTCAACAGCCCGTCATGACATTATACGCATTAGAGACCTGAAACTCAATGTCCCGATAGCGAAGCAAGGGAACGAGACGGGTTCACAGCACGTTCTACTCACCCTCTCCATCGCGCACGACACACGGTCCACGGCTGCAGCGGACGACTTGTCTCGCTCCGTCAACTATGCGTCCATCTCGGAAACTATCATTCAAGCGCACGACGCCTTTCGTGTCTCATCGCTCGAAGCTCTGGCGGAACGTGTGTGTGCGTCCTGCTTTGATCACCATCCCGAGGTACAAGAGCTGTCTGTGAGAGCCCGCACGGTTCTTTCGCCTGTTACGAAGGCTGGCATCGAAATGTGCTCTACGAGGGACCCTCCGAACACTTCCCTACAGCGCGTCTTCATCGAAAACCTGGAGTGCCAGACGATTGTCGGTGTGAATCCTGAGGAGCGAGATGTCCGGCAGCCAGTCGTATTCAATATCACTCTCGATGCGTTGCCTCGCCTGAACCAGCCCGTGGATCTCGGGGACTTGACATTCGCAATTCAGGAGGTATGTCGTGCAGGAACACCGATGTATCCACTTGCTGACGATTTCCCGCAGGACGTATCCAATAGTTCGTATCTGACGATTGAAGCTCTCGCCTCATCCGTAGCACACACCGCACTTTCGCAATGCACAGATAAAACTGCGCGTGTAAATGTGCGCGTCGCGAAGCCAAAGGCACTGCGTCCGACTGCTGAGGCGGCAGAAGTGGAGATCTCACGAACACTGGAGGATTACCAGCACGAGCTCCGTCCTGCAGACTCATCGAATATCGCAAACGGTTCGCTGTCGGTATCAGCGCGCAGCGAGGGGACTTCGTTTGCGTCTCTTCTCGCTTCGGTCGGGGAGAGAGACAAGCCTGTCAAGTATTCTCATCGCGCTGCGATAGCTCTGGGCGCGAACCTCGGCGATCGCTTTGCCAACATCGAACTGGCACTCCGACTTCTAGAGTCACCTCCTCGAGGTGCGGCAACGCCTAAAGCAATGGTGGTCGACACGAGTTTCATGTACGAGACTGCACCGATGTATGTGGCGGATCAGCCACTGTTTATCAACTGCGCATGCATAGTAAGTTCATCACCAACCGAGTAAGGCATACGCTGATGTGGATCCCCTGCGACGTCAGGTCGAGACGGACATGAGCCCTTTGGAGCTGCTTGACTTTGTCAAGGAGATCGAGACCACCGTTGGGCGAGTCACTTCCTTCAGAAACGGCCCGCGAGCTATCGACCTTGATATCCTCACGTACGATTCAGATGTCTTTGACTCACGACCAGCCTCAGAGCGGGAAACGCTGGACAACTTGGCAGGCCAGCTCGTCGTGCCCCATCCGCGCATAGCAGAGAGAGAATTCGTTCTCCGGCCGCTGAATGAGTGAGTTGTCAGTACCGTACTTGATATCATTTCTGACTATCGACAGCATGATCCCAGATTATGTTCACCCAACGCTGCGCAAGCCAATTGGCGCCCTCTTCTCTGAGCTTTTGATGCGCTCAAGCTCGGACGCTGCGCCCATGTACAAAGTCATGCCCTTCCCGCGATATGGATTGCCTACGGACCCGCCCTCGCGGCCTTCCTCCCCGTCACTGGAGGACGCCCCACCTGTCCCACCCACCGCTGCGTATTGGACATACCCGGTGACGCGGAGCAAGGCCAGCCACCGGCGCACGACGTACATCATGGGGACGCTCAATGCGACGCCAGACTCGTTCTCGGACGGCTCAAAACACAATAATATTCCTGCTGCACTGGCGTATGCGACATCGGCGGTGGCTGGCGGTGCTGCGATCGTCGACGTCGGTGGTTATTCTACCCGCCCGAGGGCTGCGTACGTCTCGCCGGAAGAGGAGACGTCGCGTGTCGTGCCTGTCATCGAGGCCATACGATCTATCTCACAGAGGGAGGGCACTGAAGACGCTTTACGCTCGAAGACGGCACATGTCCTGATCAGTGTGGACACCTTCCGATCTGACGTGGCAGAAGCCGCTGTACGTGCTGGTGCCAACTGCATTAACGATGTCTACGCGTTCGTCGGTCCAAGCTTCCCACTCACGGAGGCTTCCGCGGAGCACTTCCTCGAGATGCGCAGCGTCGCACGCGAGCTCGCCGTCCCGGTGGTGCTCATGCATTCACGCGGGGAAGCGTCCGCGAACAAGGACTACTCGCAGTATGCGTACGCCGCGGACGCGCACGGGCACGGGGCTGTGCTCGAAGGCGTCAGGGTAGAACTGGGCGAGAGGGCCGAGGCAGCCGTGAAGGGCCCTGGCGGGATCCGAAGGTGGAACGTCATCGTCGACCCAGGCATCGGTTTCAGCAAGACCGTCGAGGGTAATCTGGAGTTGCTGAGGGACGCGAGCCAGCTCACAGCCGAGACGTGGCGTCGGCCGGGGAGGAACCCGCTTGCGGGATATCCGCAGCTTATTGGGGCGTCCCGCAAGTCGTTCCTTGGGACAATTCTCGCCCGACCGGACGAGGGGGGTAGCTATGAGGGACGGGAGACGAAGGCGAGTGAGAGGAGCTGGGCAACGGCTGCTGCGGTCAGTTGTGCGGTTCAGCAGAGAGCAGAAATCGTGCGGGTGCATGATGTCCTGGAATTAGGTGACGTTCTGAGAATCAGCTCGGCGATATGGGATCTGTAGACTGTAGTATCTTCAGGGAAATGCTAATCCATACATTCAGATACTGGCACTACTGACCAGGTGTAGAACAGTACAGCGGTCACTGATAAGTACTGCCGAGGGCTCGTCGCGTCTCCCAGCAGCCACGACGGGCTCGAACAGAGCTTATCACCGGGGAGAACACGATCGATGTTTAGGTATTTAGTGACATCGACGTGAGTCAAATTGTGTTGCCACCTAAAGAAGGAGCAGCGTACGGAGATGAAAGAAGATGCGCTCTACCACTGGTCATACTCGAAACGACCATGTAATCTCGTCACGATCTCCTGATAGTCTGGCTCGTTCTCCACCGTCATATAACCATGTCGGATCATGAAATCCAGAATCACTGCGTTTCCTCAGTACACAGTCTCATGTACGAGCGGAGGACATACCAAGGGCTGTGTTAGGCTTGAATAGACCCGAACGCATACGCGTGATCACGTCTTCTAGGGGAAGTAACTAGAAGACGTGGAGGATCAGATCCAGTACTGACCGAACGAGAGCGAAAAGCTGACCTCAAATGCTTCTACCTCGCCATCGAGAGGCTTGGGACGGAATGGCGTAGGATCTACACCTGGCGGGATTCGCAGGTCGTAGACATATCTAGAAATGCATGACATATGAGCAAGATCCCTCGCTCAGGAGACCACTGGACGCACTCGACTTCTGGTTGCAGCCATCCGAGAGGGGTTCTGCAGGTGGTGTGTATCATCAGTGTTCGAATTGCATCTGTTCGAGCAGATAATGCTCACTTGAAGAAATAGCTCACGCTGCCAACTGTACGTGCATGCCTCCGCACGATGGCTTCCGCGATGCTGGCCTCTTCCATTGACTCCTTGACCAGACTCTCAAATGCGCCCAGGCCGGATGGAATGCCTCCCGCGACCGAGTTGTCCAGCCATCTCGGCCAAGTCTGCTTGCTCTTGGAACGAGTTGGAATCCACATCCTGCATGACTTCGGCAAACCGAGTTCGTCTGGATCCTCCTCGTACACTGTCATATGGACTCCGTAGGTGACCACGCCGAATAGCGCACACGCTGCACGCTCCATCATGAACGCGTAGTTCCGTCTATCTTCCGAGTCCTGCACCACGCTCGTCGATCCGACCTTTGCCGCCGTCGCGAATTCCTCGGCTTCATTTGGTGCATCGTGTGGGCCAAATGGATTTCGATAGATGGGATACATCTCCCCGCGCCATTTCTTAGGGCCAACCACGTCTGACCAGAGACCCTCGTCTCGCCAGCGCTCGCACAGTTCCTTCATCACGCGCGACCGAGCGGCGGATGTGTTAACGTGTGACGCAAAGCTGATGACCTGCTTGCCGTCGTGTTCTTGAACCTCCCATGCAAAGCCACCCTTGTTTCCCTCTGTTTCGTGTAGCAGCTGCTGAACAATGGGTGGTCGAAGAAGACCGATGGCAGGAGACTCTGGATCGGGAGTCAGGCGCCAAGTCACTAGATGCTCTGCTGCAGGATCTGTGAGGTTCAACCGGAAGTTATCGCATGTCTGGAGAATTTGTGCAAAGCTCTGCGGGGAGCTGGGGGTAGGCTCAGCCATTGCGCGATGGCAGGAGTATAGGACGGACTGGCCCGAGGAGACTCACCAGAGTCGCCGCCCTCGCCGCTTGGGTTGAAAGCGCTGAAGCGCTGAAAGGCGGCCCGAGACATCCGGACGTCATTGCTCCTCCTATGTAAGGTACCGTTCAAGAAACTACTTTCTACTGTCCACAATCTCGAACGGCTGACATGGGGTTCAGATATGCTGTCGGTGAGAAATAAGTCTGACAATTTACATGGTCACGGCTCACCAATTGTGCTGTGATCTGCAGAGCACATGGAGGAGGACGAACAGACATCTAAAGCGATACCGAAGTGGGTAGAACTGGAATACATGGTCCTCACATTATCTATAGCCCGTCAAACACACAGCTTACACACTCTCAGCATATGCGATCATTAGCAGGGACCGATGGACATGTGCACTTTACGCATTTGTCCCGATCATCTTGTCAAACACTCACCGCTCTGTTTTCAACCGGTAACAAACGAGAGCTAGCTGAGGCCACTGCGCACTCAGAAGCTATCCTGGATGTAATGCGAGGCCTCTCCATACCCATGGAGAAAGTGTGCCTACTTGACCCGAAGGCAGAGAAGGGAGTATCGCCTGAAGACGGAGACGGCCGATTCGAGTGCTTTCTTTTCGGCGTGCGTATGTTTGAACTACAACCTGTCTGTGTCGCAGGCGTTATACGTTGAACTGAGCTAATGTTACGAATACAGGGTATACTCGGTAAGCCGACAGAAGGCAGCGGTCGAACATATATTGAATGCTCTGCCGATAGGTGATGATCCGCCGCGCGACCGAACGTCTGAACTTCGAGTCTTGGGATTTCCTACGCGACATCTTGGTCCCATTCAGATGACGACTGATACGGCTCTCGGGGTCACAAAACTAGTCGTGCAGGACAAAAGTGAGATCTAGATTTTATCAATTCGATGCATCGGAATGTAAGGATGTACTCATCACCTCTGTAGTTTCACTGTCTGCAATTTCTTACATTGTAAGCGATGGTCACCTTTCTTGCTTGCCTATATGACAACGCCCAACAGGACCATCCGACCATTACTTTCAACCCAAAAGAAAGCGTTGAGATGCCGTTCAGTGCGTCCACGAGCCCACATGTAACGCCGTCCTCTCATGACTGCCGCTAGGGTACATTGCCGAAAATGGCGAGCCAAAACTCCCGCCAGGAATGCGCGAGCATCTCCATGAAGACCTCAACAAAAGCTTTGACTTCTGAGTGTACGAGGGACTGCACAAGAGACATAGCGAAAGAATGCACAAGAGCACATAGATGATGTATAAGTACTGTACAGCGTATGCAGAGCGAATGAGCGCGTGCGGGTCCATGGTATGTGTGACAGACGACTGAAGAAGACAAACGGATCGAAACATTACAGAGGTGGAACATCGACTGGATGACGTCCACCTCTCCGACCAATACTTAGCAGTAACGTACACCCAGCAGGAATATCTATACAAAGAATGACTAGGAGAAATACCAGGCATAATGTGAAGGGGCTACCGCGGCGACGCCAGAACCTGCTGGTCTAAGAGGGGTACCTCCCATGGAGGTGGCTCCCGGGGTACATCAGAGAGGTTCACGTCCGCATTGGCGTCGCGGAGCCGGTCGTGTTCGTTCATGCCCATCCGGACACGACACCGAACGAGGCGCAGCTTTGTCCGCTTGATCCCTGCGGAGTGCTTGTCAGAGCGAAGTTGGACGAACACCTGGCGGACTTACACGTCGAGATTGTCTCGCGGTCCTCTTCGATGTATGGATTGTCTTTCTGCAGTAGGTCGTCCTGCAGCGCGTACAGACACCAGAGCGCCTCTTCATATAGCTTCTCACACTCGTCATGAGACAACATCTCGTTGGTGAGCTCCTTCCGAGCGGCTATCTTGCTCTGAGGAAGACATGAGTATCGCATCTACATCGAGGGATTACTAAACTCACAAGGCTAAGAGCACGGTCGTAGATGAGTTGGTCGAGGAACGTGGGCGGCCCCGTGTACTGAGCGGGCAACCACGTCTTCACCAAAGCAGCACGGTCGTGGCATTTGTTGAAGTGGTCCTCGAAGTAGGTCAACGCTGCCATGAAACACAGTAAGCATCGACAATGTGCGACAATTGACAAGCGTCGACTGACCTTCATCAAAACCTTCACTGACTTCGGTTTCTCCATCCGGATCCCGCATCTGCAAGTGCTCGTAGTAGTTGCACAGCTTGTTCACGCCGTTCTGCGAGAACGACATGAGAAGCATGTACAGTGCAACACCGGTCATCGCGTTGTATTCCGCCTGGATATCCGCATTCTTCCGCTTCACCGCATGTCGTTCCGGCTCGCCCTCCCGACGTATGAACTTCGTCGGGTCCGGCAGGGGTTCTACCAGGAAGTCAGGATCCACGCAGGCTAGGCAAGAATGCGCGCGCACGTACTCTGCGGGATAGCCTTGACATACTCGTACATTTCGTCCGCCCAATGCGTCAGCACCTCCGTCTTCTGCGCGAGCTGTTCAAGCGAGGCCAATAGTTCATCCTCCATCGGATCCCGCGTGCCGTCGACTTGCAGCCCCAGGCCCTGCGTCCGACCGGACAGAATGGTCTGCCGCCGCGGCGACGACGGCGACGGGCTGAACTCCTTGTAGTACGCCGTCCGCGGCCCGGACGAGCCAAACAGCTTCTTGGTGGCGATGTTCAACGCGCGCGTCAGTGCGTTGGACGCTGCGCGCGAGCCTGCGCTGGAGGGCGACGAGGAAAGCGCAGGCGCGTTGGGATTCGGTGGTGGAGGGAACGTGGTGTTGGCGTTGGTGGGGACGGTGTCCCAAAGTCCGGGTAGGCCGACCGCGTCCTGGCGTCGGGAAGGGGCATGGGCATGGGCAACACACGTCTGTCGTGCAGCGGCCGTCGTCGGGCAGTGCTGATCTCTGCAAACAAGGCATCATGGATGGGCAGCGCCTTCGAACGAAAAAAGTCTCGACTTACCATCTACAGCACGGTTGATCTCTACGGCTCGCTTGTCACCCACAAGAACGTACTCGCGTCGAAGGAGGCCGTCCTCTTCAGTCTCTCCGGGTATATCGGACGACTCCCCGGAAGCCGGCTTAGGCAGAGGAGAAGGTTCGTGTTGGGGCGACCTCGCTGGTGATCTCGACACTTCGGCAATACCATTTCCGTTGCTAGTAGGACTACTAATGAAACGTCGATACAAACACCCGTAGAAATTGTCACGCTAGCATACCTGCTTCCAGACGGCCCGTCCTGTGGTCCTCCGCTCACGATTTCCCGTCTTCTGAAGTTGAACTTGCTGGGAGGTATCATCGCTTTGGGGTCAAGCACCTCCGGCGGGATGACCTTGTGATGCGCTGGTGTGATAGGCTTGCCATCCGGGCCGTACTCGACACCACCATCATCGGCCAACTCAGGCGTCGGACGCGGGAACTTCGACTTCGCCATGGCAGTACTCCCAAAGAAGTCCTCGAAGCTGCTCCGCTCCGCAGGGACGCGCTTCAGGAGACTCCGGATGAGGATCTTGACGTCGCTGGGCACCGACTTGAGCTCGTCGCCTGCAGCCTGCGCACGCGCCTGGGCCTGCGGGTCCTCGTCAGGGAACTTGATTCCCTTCGAGGTGTCGATCTTCTTGAGAAGCTCGATGTGGTTCGACGCGCGAAACGGCGGCTTCCCGACTGCCATCTCGTACAGCACGGCACCCACGGACCAAAGATCCGCTTTCGCGTCGTACTTCTCGTATCGGAGAATCTCAGGGGCCATGTACAGTCTAAATAAAGGTGAGTAGAGACAGCGTGGGACGTGCACGCAGACGTACGGTGATCCGCAAAGCGTCTCCGCCATCATAGCCTGAGGTAACGACCGAGCAAAACCAAAGTCGGCAACCTTGAGGATAGGCACACCGAGGGGATGACCCCTTGCGTGGTCCTCGGGTGATGCGGGATTCAGTAGCAGATTCTGCGACGCGTCAATGACGGAATATCTAGCAATTCTAGCTCACACTCACCTGCGGCTTGATATCCCGATGGATGAGGTTCCGCTGTCGCAGGAACTTCAGAGCGCGAGCTTGACGGATGTTAAGAAGGCCCAGCAGCGATGACCAGGGTGCTTACCAAGCTGACGCAGAAAACTACGGACGACTATTTCGTCAAGGCCTCCTGTTCTCGGATGTGGGTAATACGTCGGAGCTGCGCCAGGAGACGGTATGTATTCGAGACCCTCCACCCTGCCTCGTTTCTTGATGTAGTTCGAGAGATCACCGCCGGCGCAGAACTCAATGATGAGATATATGTTCCTCTCTGCACGCTTGGATCAGAAGCGTATGGGTTGATCGTTCACATGCAGCAGGATATACAGCGACTTACGACGATATCCAGCAATCTTGTGATATGCCGATGCGACAACGCCTTGAGGATCTCTATCTCGCCCTGCAGGTTATCGAAGAGCTTGGGACTAAGGCCTGCCCTACTGACGGTCTTAATCGCTACTTGTCGGTGTGTTTGCTGGGTCGTTCGTTAGTCAGGATATGATTGAGACTTGACCGTTGCGCACCTCATGATACCCTCGGTACACTGTCGCGAAGCTGCCCTTCCCAAGGTCGCTCACGATGACATATGGCTTGACCTCCTCGTCCTCGATGCGCTTGAAGGTGGATTTGTCCGAGCCGCCGCTCGACGTTTGCTTAACCGCTGCAGGAGCAGGGGCCGGAGCCATGGGATATGGTCGGAAGATATGCGTCGTTCAGGATATTTCGTCGAGCTGGTAACGCGATATAGTAGTACAAGTACAAGAGTTACTTCCAAGGAATCACGTAAAGCACCTGCGACGCGAACAAGAGCCCATTCCGGCGACAAGCAGTCAGAGGAGAAGAGACGGAATCGGCTCGCGCCGTGGTTGAGCCTGGTCTGGTCAGATTAGATGACTGGCTTAGTCAGATCTAGGCGCTCTTCTACTTAGTAAGCTAGTACTTGGGGAATTGTAGAAACTCGAGATGAAGAGGCAGCAAGAAGGTCAGAGTTGAGGGAGGAAGGGTAGGCTGCGACTCGGAGAGCGAAAGAGGATGGACGCATGCCACAAGGATGTGGCTGAAGGAGGGTTGGGGTAGTGTACATGTTCGCAGCATGTGAGTTAAGTTCTGATCACAATACTCAGTAATTGATGATTGTACAGGTACATCGACGACACGCCTGGGCAGCGAAGTCCGCAAAATCCTTGAGAAGAACGCCGGCGAGGATGGCGCTGCGAACATTATTATTGCTGGTATGTCACTATTGATATAGTCATGATCGCCGACCAGCGGCGCAACGTTGAGCACGAAATTGAAGTGAATGTCAATAACTTACAAAACTACAGCTTGTGGTATGCTCCTAAGTCCGCAGGCTGCAGGCCTTGCTAGGAGGCGATCCGACCTGCTGAAGGCGACCGGTACAGGTGGGGACATATTAGGACCTGCCAACCATCGAGAGCGGAGCAGTAGGCATGCACTGCCATATAGACACTACACCGCACTGTAGTCATAGCCGCGTTCGCCGCAGCGAGTAGTTCAGTTATTATGCTCTGACGACGCTTGCCGAGAACCGTTCTCACTCAAAGTCAGAGCGCAGGGAAGTCAGTATCGTACTCGCGTCTAAAAGCTCTCAGTGGTCGGTGAACCAGGATTATCGCAATGGAACGTACTCACCACGCAAAGATCCGCCGCAGTCGAAGATAAGACTCCAAGCTCTAGTTCACACATGGTGTCGCGTGCAAGACGTCACGGTTCAGTGGTACGGATTCCTCGAAGTGTTTGCGACTTCTTGCGATGGAAGATGGGAGCGATGGGCGCGCTGATTGATGAGCCTCTATACTTTCACGACCTGGTCGCGGAGGAACAGACGATACCGGTTTCCTCATGTACACAATTGTACACAACTGGAATGAAGTTCAATCTCGCGGCGGCGTTTCTGGCCTGGAAACTTCCTGTAAGAGTTATGATTAATTCGCTATTGTCTACGGACCTAGAGGCAGATGTACCTCATGTCACTCCTTGACGATGAGTGCGAACCGTACGGTCTAGCGAGCTTTCGCGCATTTTAGACCTCTCTTTCAATCTAGGTACGCAGGGTTGTCAGATAGCACACCGACTCACGTACCCGGCGCGACTTGGGACACGTCGCTTTGCGGTTCTTGCATGATCCTTGAAGCTTGAAGCTTGAAGCTTTGAACAGCAAGCTGCCAGTTGTTCAGAAAACTTGCCAAGTTGAAGTCCGCGCGCACGTTGAAGTATATTGTCACGTGGGTTTGTTTCGAGGTCAAATTCGGTAACTTCTCATTTGGCAACACCTCTCTTGTACTTATAGACTCAGTCACTCAAGAACCGGATGGCTATATGCAATGCGTATCGTGCGTTCCTCTACGTTCGAGCCAAGTCATCAAGGGATGAAGAAGGCAGTCACTTATCTGGCTGCGATGTGAAGTAGGCTGTCACGGTCGCCCGCGAAGTCCGAACCACTGGCAAGGAAGTTGTTCCACACGAACTTGTCCACACGTCGATGCCACTTGTGATCGATATTTGGCAGCGCCCTAGTGTATGTGCTACCTCATGGGCATAGGCCCTATGCAAATGGGTGATACATATAACGTAGGGAATACGCTCATAGTAGGCCCCCTTGCCGTTCGTTCGCTGAGTTGCACTGCTGTCTGTCGTCATCATGTCAACGTCTTTGCACCTCCTCCCTCCCCACCCTCATACCCAAGGCCATTCCTGCGCCACATTCAAAATCCCCCCGTTAGATGGATCACTGACCTTCCCCCAGATGTTCGACTTTCATGAACAGCATTCCGCCGATCATCGCCTCTTCGTGTACGCAGGACAGGACGGTGCCGTCAATACGGTCAACTGGAGTCGAGCAAGCGTAGCCATCCGGAGAGCTGCCATACTGGTCACGGAGTGCATGTCCCATAAATATCACCCGGCTCATGAGATACCGGTAGTTGCGATACTATCAGCCTCAGGTTAGTCTCAGGCTGATGTCATACGGAAGGACAATTCTGACTACGAGCCTCTGCAGACGCCATTCCCTATGCAACACTGATGATGGGCATCATGCGTGCTGGCTACACCCCGTTTCCCCTCTCAGCACGCAACTCGGCTGTGGCAGTTGCTCATTTACTCGCTAAAACCAACGTTGTGCATATCTTCGTGGGGCTTCATCAGGCCATGCAAGACTTGAACGCGGAGGCATGCGAGATCCTCAAGTCACAGTACAGCTATTCTACTGCTCTGGGAGTGTCGCCCATGCCCGTCTTCAACGACTTCTACGATGTGGGACTCAAGGGAAACACCGAGCAAGACATCCCATATGACCACCCAGGGTTGGACAAGAACATCTTCTACCTCCATTCTTCGGGTACGTGTGGCACTTAATGTTATATGTATCATTCCTGAAAAGACCATATCAGGTTCTACTGCTTTCCCGAAGCCCATTCCTTGGACGTACCGCAGAATGCTGCAAATCTCTAGAGCTGTATTCTACGGAGAGCGTGACTTGACCGGCCGCGTAATGGCGTTGTTCGGAATGCCAATGTTCCATGCGATGGGCATCATGTCCACAATATTTGCTGTATGCCCGAAATGACTGATAACGTATACTGTCGCTGACGATCTTGTATTATTAATGACTTAGTGCGCTTATGGACAGGCGATCGCTATAACGGCGCCGACAACCTCTCCAACTATTCCAACAATCGAGAGCATCATTCATGGCGCGATGGCAACTAAGGCCGATCTAATCATGACTGTGCCTTCCATCGTCGAGGTCTGTGTTATTTGTTCCCCATAAGTCCAGTGCGCTGAACATCCTCAACTAGGCGTGGTCGCACAATCCAGAGTGGGTTAAATGGCTTGCTACAATTGACGGAATCGTGAACAAATCTCTATCATATCAATAACCATCAAACCTGACTTGGACACGTCGCACAGTCGTATGGTGGCGGCCCGCTCAACAAGGAACGCGGCGATTATCGAGTGTCGCAAGGCGTCAGAATCTTCTGCAACTATGGATCGTAAGCACAATACAATCCGTTGTTTTCAAAGTCCGTCCTCTGACTGCATCATCAGTACGGAAACTGGCGTTATCAGTACATTTCTGCCAGGTAAGATCGTCTTAACATGTGTGCACCGAGATCCCGAACTCTCTCGCAGCTGAGACAGGGATGGATTGGGAGTACTTCCGCTTCGGGTCCTTCCTGAATGTCAAGCTTGATCCCTGCACCAACAATGAATACGAGGTCATCATTGTGGTATGCACCACTTTGCTTCACGAATCATCCAGTCACACACTTTCGTTGCAGGAGAATGAGCTTTTACGGCCGAATGTAGTCAATACCAAGGTCAATGGAGTGGACGCCTACGCGACTTCCGACCTTGTCGCGCCCCATCCAACTCAAGAGGGCTTGTACAAGGTCGTGGGTCGCACCGATGATCAGATCATGCACAGTACCGGCGAGAAGGTGAGTAGCAAGGACTGTTGCAAAGAACCTGAAGATTGACGGGGGCATCATTGCAGACCAACCCAGGTCCTTTAGGTATAGACAGTCACTGACTATGCCATAACAGTCGGCTTACGATGCTGCACTAGAAACAATGATGAACCAGGATCCGCATGTCCAGGCATCCGCTATGTTTGGTCGTGGGCGTTTACAGGCTGGAATTCTGATCGATCCCAAGCCGGAGTACAGCTTCGATCCCTCGGACGAAGCCAGCCTTGTCGCGTTTCGTAACAAGATATGGTACGTTGAGTGGTTCACTTCACAATAAGAGCACTGCCTCACTACCCAGTCAGGCCGACGATCTTGAAGACGAACTTGTATGCCCCCAGCATTCGCGCCTGTTCAAGGAGGTGGGTTACGTTCGCCCCAGCAAATCATTGTTGTTGCTCACGTGATATTTCCACTAGATGATCATAGTCGCGAAACCGGACAAACCGTTCTCCTACACAGCCAAGGGAACCGTGCGTCGCGGAGCTGTGATCCAACAGTACGAGGACGAAATCGACGCACTGTACGATATCGTGGACGCAGGTTCCCAGTCCAGCGTTGCACCACCGGTAAGCTGGGACATCACGACGGCAACCGACTTTGTTCGCAAGACAGTCGCCCATATCCTGAAACGTTGTCCGCGTGATGGTGATGATCTCTTCCAGCATGGCTGCGACAGGTGAGACCGCATGCATGGTCGACCTTCCAGTACTATCACTGACGATGTATGACGGCCAGTCTTCAGGCTACTTACATACGGAACACGTTGCTACGCGCCGTCCGCAAGAGCGCGAAGGTCGAAACCCGCCACGTCTCGCAAGGCTTCGTTTACAGTAACCCGAGCATCAAGCAACTCTCTGCCTTCATCTCGTCCGTCGCGCTCGGTACTTACCAGTCCGAAGACAATACTACATCCTCAGCAGACCGCATCAACGCCATGCATGCGATGGTAGCCAAGTATACTTCCGGCTTTTCCGTTCACAAGGCGGACCCCAGTGTCAAACGACGCGCCGGTGACATCGTCCTGGTCACAGGTACGACGGGGAGCTTGGGCTGTCATCTGCTCTCCCAGCTCGCGGCGAAGAAGGATGTCGAGCAGATATATGCTCTGAATAGGGCATCGAAAGACCAACAGTCGCTGCGCGAGAGGCAGCAGGCGGCGCTGCTCTCCCGCAAGCTCGATGCGAGCATCCTGGACTCGGATAAGGTCGTTCTGCTGGAGGGAGACTTGACAAAGACATACTTCGGGCTAGGCGAGAAAGTGTTTAGGGAACTTCACTGCTCTGTGACGAACATCATACACAACGGTGCGGATTTCTCTTCCATTGCAACAATGTCGACCCAGGTGATAATGCTGATGACTGTCATCTAGCGTGGCGCGTCGACTTTGTGATCAGCCTCAGCTCCTTCGAACCACAAGTACAAGGTGTGCGGGCTCTCATCGAGTTTGCGCTCAGTTCTCCTTTACCTGAGCCACCAAGGCTCCTCTTCGAGAGCTCCATGGGCACCCTTCAGAGTGAGTCTCAGTGCTTCTGTCAATCGGTTAGATCGTTACAGCTTCCATTACAGATGCACCGTCAGAGGAGACTATACTAGAGACGGCAGCAACAGCGGAGTGGTCTGTCGGCACGGGATATGCGGAGTCAAAATGGGTATCTGAGCAGATCCTATTCACCGCCGGCAAGAATACCCCGCTCACGCCGCTCATCGCACGGCTTGGCCAGATATGCGCCGGCCCTGACGGCGCATGGAACGCTCATGAGTGGTACCCATCTATGGTGCAGAGCGCGCACACGCTGGGCTGCTTCCCCGATGACGAAAGGGCAAGTGCAATCTAGCCTCGGGCTACATGCGCAACATGATAGTAGCGGCTGACACGACGCTCTATCGCACAGGTCATTGACTGGATACAGTCGGACCTCGCCACGGCGGCGCTCATCGACTTCCACAAAGCGTTAAGCCCAACTGGCCTTGTCCACCTCGTGCACCCGCGCCCAATTCCGTGGCACGACCTCGCTGTCGCCATCTCCGCCGAGTTCGCCGTCCCGCTCGTACCCTTTGCCACATGGTTGGCCAAGCTCGAGGAGTACGCCGCGGCTCAAGGAGAAACCACTGGTGCTGCGAGGCTGCATGCACTACACCTGCTCCCGAAGTTCCGCGAGATACGGCTGCAGACGGACAAGGGGAAGATGACGTTGGGTACGGCAGACATGGATGTGAGTCGAGCGAAGGAGGCGTCACCGACGTTGGCAGACCCGGGGTTGAGGCAGATAGGCGTGGAGGACGTGAAGCGGTGGGTTGCTTATTGGCGGAAGATTGGACTCTTCGCTCGTGCGTAAGGTGTCTGCATGTATTTGTGATACATGAAATCGTGGGCCTGCACTACTTAGAGCACGCTGTTTGATGACTCCATCACGGAGGCTTACAACCGCCACCTCCCAAGGTGCTCTACCTCGTATGTATCTCGTCCGGTGGTCAGCACAAATCTGCGTGGCTGATGCGAACGTACGGAGTGCATTCAGCACCGTCTTCGATCATCTCTGAGTCCAAAGCGAATATGTACTCACGTCTGACGGGGAAGATAACTCTCGTGGTGTAACCACCAAGGTGTTTAACCACAAGACCTGGAGCACAAAATCATCCCTACGGCGCATCCCAAATGTGAGCCGAACTGTCGGTGACGTACATAGGACACACAGCTCATGGGCATCTTCGTAGGAATGCCTGTTGCGCCCGGGAATATCCTCGCTGCAGGCAAAGTCGGGACCGACGCAGAGTACGGAAGGTCTAGAACAACGCCTAGTGGTGTACGCTTGCGCCCGAGGAGTTGTTGGGAAGATCGCCGACATTGTTGGAAAGAAGAGTCTGCTGTAACGCTCGAAGGTTGGCCCCGAGCGCCGGCGCCCACACACGGACACTTCCCCTGTATCCCCGCATTCGGAACATTGTGTGGGTTACCTTCACCGTAAGTACCCCGAGACTTCTATGCGGCTGGCGCCGCAAAGGCATCTACATCTTGTCACCAACTGGGACGAAACGATGTCGCTCGGGCTACACGGCCTTCTGTTAGGTGGGAAACGTCTTGGACTCCTGCCAGTGGAACCGAGAGGTACGCTACATTGGCATGATCCTCCGGAACCCGACTAGACATATGACACACTCCTTGTTAGAGCTGAGGTGCGCCTTTACCCATGAAGCCCGGTCGACTCGCCCTCGCTATGCATCCATCGCGTGTACATCATCCTTAGGCGCGTACATGATCTTGCTGGCGCTCCGACAACATTGTTCAGGTCGACCCCTGCTTACACAGATGCGAATAGCATCATGAGTCTCGGAGTAGAATATGGGACTCACGAGTATATAGCGGCCCCTTACAGACCCCAGAATCCCTACCAAGACGTCCTCTATCGCGAGCATACTACCGATTTCAATCTCACCTCACCTGAAAGAGCGAGACATCATGTCATCCAGGGGCCCGCGATTCTCGAAGTTCTGGGCTGAATCTGTCCCGCCCCCACCAGCTACAAAGCTTGGCCGCCACAGACAGTTGGCACCCAATGCCGGCATCCATGTATCTCCGCTTTGCCTCGGTGCGATGAGCATCGGCGAGAAATGGGGCCCGCTGGGCATGGGCGAGATGACCAAGGAGCAGAGTTTCAAGCTTCTAGACGCATTCTACGCCGCGGGCGGAAACTTCGTCGACACGGCGAACAACTACCAGGACGGCGAGTCGGAGCAGCTCATCGGGGAATGGATGGAGGCGCGCGGTGTGCGCGACCAGATGGTGGTGGCTACAAAGGTCAGTCTTAGTGCGGTCTATCAGTGGAAGGCATACCTGATACGGATTCCTCGTGCAGTACACTAGCAACTGGAAACGTGGCGAAAACATGCCACAGAAGACCAGCTACGTGGGGAACAACATGAAGTCGCTCTACCTGTCCGTCGAGAAGTCCCTCAAAGACCTCCGCACGAGTTACATAGACATACTGTACGTCCATTGGGTCAGTGCGTTGTATTCTCGATGTATTTGTAGATGACGGCTCACACCTCCCTTGCAGTGGGACTGGACATGCGGAGTCGAGGAGGTGATGAACGGCCTGCACCACCTCGTCGCGGAGCGCAAGGTGCTCTACCTCGTACGTGTCTTGGACCATCTATCACCTGCTTGATCTGACGTGAATGGCACGCAGGGCATCTCGGATACTCCGTCGTGGATTGTCTCCAAAGCCAACATGTACGCACGTCTCACGGGAAAGACCCCATTCGTGGTATACCAAGGCGCCTGGAGCGTCCTGCAGCGAGACCTTGAGCGCGAGATCATCCCCATGGCGCGTGCTGAAGGTGAGCTGGTATCCAGATGTTTCGCGTAGGGTGGAGAGCTCAGATTTGCTGATGCAGGGATGGCCATTGCGCCGTGGAACGTGCTTGCTGCCGGTAAAATACGCACAGACGCAGAGGAAGAACGTCGGCGTCAAACCGGAGAACATGGTGAGCTTGCCCCATGTTTCCTTCTGGGCCGTCGACGTAGTTAAATGATAACTCACACCCTCTTAGGGAGGAAACTCGCAAGCGACGCATGGGAGCGCACGCCTGAGCAGAAGGAAGTTTGCAAGATTCTCGAGAAGATTGCAGGCGAAGTCGACGCTAAGAGTATCACCGCTGGTAAGTCATGGTTTTGTCGGTTAGGATCAGCGGAATCCTCACAATATTGGCCAGTTGCAATCGCATATGTCACGCAGAAGACGCCATACGTGTTCCCGATCGTCGGTGGACGCAAGATCGAGCACTTGATGGACAACATCAACGCTCTTGACGTCTCCCTCAACGAGGACCAGATCGCGCAGATCGAAGACGTGCTCCCATTCGATTTGGGCTTCCCGCATAACATGTTTGTGAGTCCTTCGCATCATCAGGCTGGGCATGCTGGGGCTGAAGATAGCATGCTTGCAGGGCGACGGCTCGTGGTATGCCCCCATCTATCAGTCGGCGGGCCATTTCGACAAGTGGCCTCGCCAGCAGGCGATCCGGCCTTCTAACAGTGGCTGAAAATGGTTATGACGCAATGAGAAGTAGCAAACATACAGTATGCATGGACATTCTTGAACACCTTTGTGAGGCGCTGGTAGGCTTCCAAGTCACGACATCTAGCACAAGTGCAGCCATCGCGTCTAGACTGGTCAGCAATGTTTTACTAAGCATACTGAGTTTTGACGTACAGACGCAATCTCAGTGACATCGGTTGTTAGGATTCACTGTTCGGGGTTGTTTGAAGTGCCATGATCAGCTATGTATCTGCTATCATAAAAGGTTGCCAGGCGTGACAAATCTCTTACTCCGATAGGGCTACCAATCGTATGCAAGGAACTCTCATACGAGCGTATGACGAACCCGATGTGACTGAACGGGGAGGCAGCGTTGAGTTCTGCCATCGGCGTACGAGGCGGGTCTCGACCAGTTAGTCATGACTCCTACCGCGCCCACATCCCCCACCGATGTCAAGGACGCGACCCCGAGGTCGCTCCGTCGCCAATGCCTGCGAAGTATAAAAGAGGCATTACGCCCGGCATGGTGACTGTCGACAGTCTACCCGAACAGCCTCCAGGACATCTTCAACTGAACTGCAGACAATGTCAGACTTCTGGGCCCCACCTCCCCCGCCGAAGACGAGGCTTGGGCGGCACCGCCAGCTGGCGCGCCTCGCGGGCGTTCACGTCTCGCCCATCTGCCTCGGGGCGATGAGCATCGGGGATAAGTGGACGCAGATGGGCGCGATGGACAAGGACCAGAGCTTCCGGCTGCTCGACGCGTTTTACGATGCGGGCGGAAATTTCATCGACACCGCGAACATGTACCAGGATGGGAGCTCAGAAGAGTTCTTGGGTGAGTGGATGCAGGAACGCGGATTGCGGGATCAGTTGATCATCGCGACAAAGGTCGGCAGAATTCATTCGTAGCGCTCTTGACGAGGGGCGGGATCTGAGCAAATGCATTTCAGTACACGAACAACTACAAGCGCAGCGAGAACTACCGGCAGAAAACAACGTTCACTGGAAACAACATGAAGTCCCTGTACCTGTCAGTCGAGAACTCCTTGAAGAAACTGCGGACGGACTACATCGACATCCTCTACGTCCACTGGGTAAGTCGTGCACCCAGAATAGTAGGCCTTCGCTGACCCTCCTTGAAAAGTGGGACTGGACGTGTGGCATCGAAGAAGTAATGAACGGCTTGCACTATCTCGTTCAACAGAGGAAGGTACTCTACCTGGTAAGTGTCCAAAAACCCTTCGGTAGTAGCCTGCGGAAGTGCTGAATCTTCCGCAGGGAGTATCCGACACGCCGGCTTGGGTCGTGTCAGAAGCAAACATGTACGCTCGGCTCACAGGAAAGGCGCCGTTCGTGATCTACCAGGGCTCGTGGAGCGCCCTCGACCGAGACATAGAGCGCGAGATTATCCCGATGTGTCGAGTACAAGGTGAGTACGCCCCCGCCGTATGGGACACTTAGCGCTCACGCGTGCGTGTGCAGGCATGGCCATCGCGCCTTGGAATGTCTTGGGGGCTGGCAGGATCCGCACCGACGAGGAGGAAGAGCGTCGTCGTCAGAGCGGAGAACGAGGTGAGCGCATAATAAGACTGGTGCACGTCGATTGGCCACAAAGTGACCTGGTTGCAGGCCGGACCATCCTGGACGGCCAATGGGAGCGCACGGCAGAGCAAAAGAAGGTATGCCAAGCACTGGAGAAGGTCGCAGGCGAGGTCGGCGTAAAGAGTATCACGGCCGGTGCGTACTCTTGAACGACATCACGACGACGGACTGACTAGCTATCGAGCAGTGGCGATCGCATACGTGATGCAGAAGACGCCTTTCGTGTTTCCCATTATCGGGGGCCGTAAGGTCGAGCAGCTGATGGACAACCTGAAGGCCCTGGAGATCTCGCTAAGTCCCGAACATATCGCATTAATAGACAGCGCGCAGCCGTTCGTACCAGGGTTTCCTTACGACATCATTGTGAGTGAACGTTCGGGATTATGCGGTGATGCTGAGGCTTGAAGCTGATACGTAATGGTTGCAGGGCGACGGGACTGCGTACTCGGATCCGTTCAAATGTGGCGGCCACTTCGATAAGTGGCCTGTGCAGCAGGCTCTCCGCCCCCGGTGAACCATGGCAAGGTGGTGAGAAACATCCGCATTGCTGTTTCTCTATGCTGTCCGGACATATATCAGTATTGTTTACTTCTCTACTGACCGGGTGACTCGAGCTAGTGCACTGTACCTAATGTGTCTCCAGCTGCATATGAATTCCGCACTGGGTGCAATGTCAATGTCAGCGTCGCTGACGACTGCATCGCTGGCGCCTGCATCCGCAAGGACGTACTGCATATGTACCCCACAGGGATGGCGGAGAACGGGCTTTCTTAACGTGCCAATGCCGCGTACCCCATGCATTGGGCTGGCCTTGGATGTCCCGTTCAACGGCTGCAGCCAAGCTGCAAC